TTTAATTGAAAGCCTTGCTGGGTAGAGCTGTCTTGGTTGCAGACCTTTGCTTTTCATGACTTGGAATATTTCTTGCCATTCCCTTCTGGCTTGCAGTGTTTCTGTTGAGAAGTCAACTCCTAGCCGTATTGGGGCTCCCTTATATGCTACAACCTCTTTCTCCCTTGCTTGCTTTAGTATTCTGTTTGTCTTTGATATTTGCCATTTTAAAGATGATGCATCTTGGGATGGGCCTCATTAGCTTCCTCTTGAAAGGGGCCCTCTGTGCTTCTTGGACTTGTGTGACTTTTGCTCTCCTCAAATTGGGGAAGTTTTTCCATCATTACTTTTTCAAACAAGTTCTCTATTCCTTCCTCATCCTCTTCTTCTGGTATCCCTATTATATGGATATTATTACGTTTCAGGTTGTCCTGCATTTCCCTAAATGCCTCTTCATTCTTTTCGATCCTTTTTCCTTGCTCTTTCATTGTCTTTCCATTTTCTTGCTCTTTCTGGGCGCTTTTCCTCCAGCTCACTGATTCGGTCCTCTGCTTCATCTAGCCTGCTTTTCATTCCTTCTACTGTGTTCTTCAATTCAGAAATTGTATTCTTCATTTCCTCTTGTCTCATTGATAGTTTCTATGTCCTTTTTCATGCTGATATAGTCTGCAGTAAGTGCCCGTAGTTTCCCTGTATTTTTTTTGTAATTCTCTCTGAGCTCATTGAGCTTCCTTAGAACCATTGTTTGGAACTCAGTATCTGATAGCTTACTCGCCTCTATTTCATTTACTTCTCTTTCTGGGGATCCCTCCTTTCCCTTTGAGTGGAGCGTATTTCTTTGTCTTCCCATTATTTGTGAGACTCTTCTCTTTTGCTTCTTCTTCTTAAGTTGATCTGTCTTGATTTCCTGACTTTGTGGTGTGAACTTCTATGGTTGGAGACCACTGTTGTTACTCTCTGAATCTGCCTCTGATGATGTCAGATGTTGACCCTGTCTGACCTTAGGCAGTCTGTTTGAGACTTCCAGTAATGTACTGTTTGTGGCTATCTCCTTCAGCTGTTAATCTATTCACTCTCCACTCAGCAGGGCACCTTAGACAGCTCAGGGTGTGGCGGAGTCCCTCCTGGGGGTGGCGTTATTGGGTCCTTTCATGCTCCTGCCCAATGGGGGAGGAGTCTCCACAGGGATTCCGCCAGCTACTCTCTCTGTTCTCTCCTCAAATGTTGCCAGACCTCTCTGTGTCCCCTTTATCCAGGGATCTACTGTCTGTGGCTTCCACTCTGCACTCAGCAGGCGCCTGAGACAGCACAGGGCAGGGTGGAATCCCACCTGGGGGTGGGGCTATTAGGTCCTTTGATGCTGGTGCCACTCAGGGGGTGTGGCTTCTTCCTGAGCAAGATGGCTGCTGCCGCATGGGGGATGAGGCAGCACCGAGATCCCACCAGCTACTCTCTCAGTTCTCTCCCCAAAGCCTCCTTCCCCAGTCTCTCCTCAGGTGTCTCTAGCCCACTCTGTCCCCGCCTTTGCTGGAGACCAGGGTATGTGGCTGCAAATAAAAATTTGCGTTGGCCCTTTAGAAGACTCTTTTCGTCTCCAGCCACCTGTCTCTGGCAGAGAGCAACCCTGCTGCTTTTTGCAGCTGGTTGTTTTCTGTGTACTTTTTGGGCTCTGGTGCTGTGGGCTAGAGATCCCCACTTTTGGTTTAGACCCCGCTCTTCTCAGGGGCATCCAACTGGCCATTTCAATATCCTCCTGGTGCTGCCGCCCGTTGGCGCCCCGCCTGCCTTCTCAGGTCTGTACTGCACTCCTTCCCAGTTAGATTGTGCTAAAGCTGATTCTTCTGTGTCCGAGGTTACAAGGCTCCTCTCTCACTATTATTCAGTTGTTTGTTCCAAGTGATTTCTCCCCAATTTAGTTATAATTCCAGGTTGGTCCTGGGAGGAGGTCAGTGTGACTTCCACTCACTCCTTTGCCATCTTGATTCTCCTTAGTATTTTTAATATATGAAGAATAAGCATTTCATTTGAAATGTTAATAAATAAGTAAATACATGAATGAATGAAGCACAGCCTTTAGGAATCCTAATTACAGTGTGAAGGTAAGGTTAAGGAGTCAAAGTAATCTGTAATTGCTGAGTCTTAAATAGCTATGGCATACTTTCTACCCTATGACTTATTATCTGTTACTTTATATTCCCTGTCTCCTGAAATACTTCTGCTCATTCATCAAAAATAGAATCTTCACTGAGTGCTTACTCTGTGCCAAGTACCATGCTTGGTGCTAGGTATTGCATGGTAGACAAGGTAAACATTGTCCTTGCTCTTATGGATGGTGAGGGGCAACACTGAGGTGAAGTTTAGAACACCGTAACCGAAATTCACCGGAGATGATGATGACCTGGGCCCCAGTGCAGTCTGCAGGGGCTGCAGAAAGTAGACAGAGTTCAGAAGATTCAGGGGCGTCACAGATAGAATGTGATTGCTTGGATATGGAGGTTGAGGGAGAATGAGTCAGAGATGATGAATACGTTTTTAGTTGGGGCATTTCATTCAGTTCTTTTTTAGCATATATGATACCCTGTTGACTACCAAGTATAATTTTCCTTTCTGCAGTAACCCTTACATGTCGCATCCCCAGGTTCCCTCTCCCACTTTTTTCCCCTAATGTTTTCTTCCCTTTTTTGTTTTGCTTGTTTTGAAAGGATGTCCTCCAACTACTGGAACCCATGTGGAGTGCCTGGAAATACATTTCCTAGATGGCCCTTAACCTGTGACTTAGGGCAAAGGAATATGAAAGCCCAACTCCCTTGCCTTAGGTTGGGACAACGCAAGTTGTTGGGACTGTGAAGCCTATATTTTGAGTTCCCTTGAAGATTAGGCTAATGCTAGATAATGGTATAATTTCTCAAATTAATAACTATAATTTATCAAAATTACATATATTTTTAAAGGCAAAAAATGCCAGAAAAGAGGATCTCTTACAAAAAATAAAGTCCTATAATCCTCCTCACTGTCCTAATCTCCAAAAATTACCTGGTATTTATCTTGATTTCTAAGCAATATTTTATTCAGTTATCTCTTGAATCGAGAGTTTATAGATAATCTATTGACTTCCCATTTTGGCAGGTGAGTTGAGATCTTTTAGTTTCTCTTACCCTTCCCATTACTGTCCCAAAGTAGTTACATCAAAATGTTTTATTAAGTAAATATTGTTTTGATATTATGATTATATAAATACTCATGTTGAGCCAAGGGGTTAAATTTTTGTGAAACTTTCCATTCCTCCTGAAATTAGTAATTACTTTGATTTCATTTCTTTAGTTTTCTTTTAGCTGATGGCTAAGACTTCTCACACTGTCCAACAACTCTGTAAAATTTCTCAGTCCAGTTTTTCACACTTAACCTTGCCATATAGTGTTATCAGTTCTACCTTTCCTACATATTTTCTTTATAAAGACCTCCATAACCTGATATAATATGAACTGTTTACTCCCCAGCAATTATTAGTGGATTTTTCTTTACTGTCATCCTGGAAATTCCTCTTGCTTCTTACTCGTGTTAGATTCACTATTTACTGAGCACTGTTTTTTCCTTTTTCTTGATTTACTCTCTTGTTTTGGTGGACCTCAAATTCTAATAACCTTTTTGAAAAAAGGTGCATGTAAACTACATTTTTTCTTTACTTCACATGTCTAAAGACAACTTCATTCAACCACCATCATCATCATTATGATTCATAATTGATCATTTGGCTAGGTATACAATTCTAGGTTGAAAATGATTTTCACTTACAATTTTGAAGGCACCCTTCCATTGTCTTCTAGTTTCTAATACTACTATTCAAGCACCATTTTAAGATCTCCTGTTTGCTCCTAGTAGTCTGAAGCCTGTAATATATTCCTCAAGTAGGTTTTTTCTTCAATCATCATATCAAACAATTCGTGGGGGTTTTTACTTTGAAAACTCAATTGTGAGAAATTCCTATTAGTATTATATGTTTAATAATTTCCTCCCCACTATTTTCTCTGTTCTCTCTTTTTGGAACTTCTATTAATCTGTTATATGGTCACTAAATTGATTATCTAATTTTCTTTTCTCTCATATTATCTATCTATTTAGCTTTTTGTTCTTTCTAGAAGAGTTCCTCAACTTTGCCTTTTAACCTTCTTATTGAATTTTTTTTTACTTTGGCATCACATTTTTAATATCTAAGAGTTCTTCGTTTTTCTTTGTTTCATTTCATAATATCCTTTTCTCATATATCTTATAAGATATTAACAATTTTTCACTTTCATCATTGTCTCTATTTCCACTGAGTTTATTTATTGTGCTATTTGGTACAGATTTTTCTTTAATATGAGAAGCTTCTCCCACATATCTAGTGGTTCCAGTCATCAGGCTGCAACCATATCTACCAAAAGCTATCTCTGTTAGATCACATCCTTGAGGCAGCTTGACAAGGCCCCATCTCCAGGGAGCATCTGTTTTATTTGACTTGAATTGGTGTTTGGGAGAATCCTTTCTAAACCTGAGATTCTGTGAATCTGATGTTTTTCTTTTTTAATCTCAATTTGAGTTCTTTGCTTCTTCAATGAAATATCCCGTTTCTTTCTGCAACTGAATAAGGAACAGAATTGCCACTCCGACTTCTACTGGTACATGTGTACTGTTTCAGAGCCTCGAACTTTCTGGGACCTGATATGGTAGAGCTGCTAAGCACATCATACATAGCAGTTTTGCTATGTGGCCTCTCTCATAACAGGCAGCTCCCCAGTTGGGGAAAGCTAGAGTCAATCTTTAGGTAGAAGGTAACTCTTCCCAGTTCTGGTGTCAAGGACTGCTGCTAAGTTGTTCATTTTCTGTGTCTCATAGGAAACTACATAGGACCAATATGAGAAAAAGGTGTATCTTGCTTACAGCAATTTGGGAAGTCTTTCTTCAGGGAAAGTAGTAAGTTGTTAAGTGGAGGGCTATTTGAATTGGTACCAAGTGCTGACTTGTCATGGACTTTCTTCCTGCAGGATTCCCAAGTAAAAGAAATGTCTTTGACAACTATTGTGACCTTTGTGGACATTACCCAGAAGCCAGAGCCGCCACGGGGCCAACCCAGAATCGACTGGAAACTGCCATTCGATTTCTTCTTTCCCTTCAAAGTGGCATTCAGCAAAGGAGTGCACTCTCAAAAAGGCTCAGTATCTCCCATCCTTATCCTGTGTCTCTTACTACTTGGAGTTCTCAGCCTAGAGACTAAGTAACAAAAGGAGAAGAATCAAATTTTAATTTTCCCTATGGGAAGTCCTACGGCAGCCTACTTATGTTGGCTAATGACCAGAAAGTATTTAGGATGATAGAGGATCATACTGAAAGAATCTTTGTACATGAGGGAAAAGCAATAAAGATAATTTATTCATCCTAGCTCTCTGCTTAGAACTTAGAACATGCTTCAGTAATGTTGATTGCAAGTGATTTGTTCAAAAAAATTGAATATATAACCTACAGAACACCAGATACACCTTAAGCTCTGTACTCCTCAAACCGGAAAGAACACAAAGAGCTCTTCCTCCAGTCCTTCAGGGTGTGTTAAGCCTGACTAAAGGTTTGCAAGATCTTCACCCACCTGCTCACAGGCACAGTTAGGCAACTGCAAAAGGAACATGTTTTTATGGTTCAGAACAGAAAACTACTGGCTATATATTTTATCTGACTCCTCCCTTGGGCCACAATCTTCCCATGCCTGAGTGAAGACAGCAATTCTCTCCACGAAGAGTCAAAATGAATGTGGAATCCCAGCCCTCTTTCTTACTAACAAATAATCTTACCACTCATTTTTCTTTCTTTCCTCTGCTGTGGTAGAGAAATAAAAACTGATTGAGAGCTCAGTTATACTAATTCTAGCAGCACAGAAGTTAGTTAACAGATTGCCTCATGATTATTTTTTTATATATAAGAGAGGTTCTTAAAGAAAAAGGAAAAAAACCTTTTATAGATAATAGCATTTATTATTATGAGGCGAGACCCCACAAAACCCAGAATTATCTTCCGGGGGGGCCCTTGTAGTACAGGCTTCCCCCACTAGGTGAATGTTCTGGGAACCCCTCTGTATCAGTGTACCAGCCGGTGTTGCTGTGGTGTGCGTTTGGCTTCAGTGATTTTTTTTGAAAACTCTTGCAGTGCAGTTGCCCATTTATTGATGAGTGATTTACCAGCACAACTACCCGCACCATGCTGAGTATTGAGCAGTTTTTTGACAAAAGACCTGTGTCCTCTCTCTATTCATCCAGTCTCACCCTGAGCAAATTTTTTTTGTTTCCCCTGATGAAAAAAGGACTCAAAGGGAAATGTTTTGCTCACGTGGAAGCGGTAAAACAAAAAACTGCAGATGCACTGAAAGGCATCAAAATCAGTGAGTTCAAAGACTGTTTTTGAGCAGTGGAAAAAAACATTTTGATAGGTGTATTGCATAAGGTGGAGAGTACTTTGAAGGTGACTGAAGTTTAAACGTAAGAATAAATACACAATTTTTTATAAATTCCAGATTTTTGGGGGGTTCCTCCTTGTATTTCCTAAGTTGGTTATGAATTTGTACATTTTAATAGGAAAATATGTATATTATCAGCAATGCTGAGTGAACATTTCCAAATACAATTTGCAGGTAGACTGAGGATGGGATTCACTGGCTGGTGGTGTCACATTTCACTTTCTTCACCTGTCTCTTCAGCAGCAATCCTGGCTATTGAGGTGGTTTCACCCTTCTCCATTTTGACAAAAAGCTCATCCTCATCAGATGAATCTTTGTCAGGTAGCTTCTGGGCCACATTTTTCTTGGGTGTGGTGTTGAGAAGTCCATACACATCCATAAGCCTTTTCCAGAAAATGCCCTCCTCCATCTTGCATTTTGGTGAGCATTTCAGTGAGCATCTCGTGCTGGAGAGTTGAGAAAAAGCCCCTTGAGCTTCCTTCTTTACCTTCTTTGATGCTGTTCTATTACAATGAGGCAAACAATTACAATAAAAATCATTGCTGCTACAATCACAGGTCCTCCCCTGATGAGATTGCGGCACTTTGGTGAGCTCACATGACTTCTGCTCTTCTTGTTCACCCTGTGCTTCTGCCTTCTCATTCTTCCATTGATCTGTATACTGCTGTGGCTTGGAAACCTTCACTTCATGTTGCTCACCAAGAAGGTTCATCAGGAGGTTCATGAACGCTGACAAGCTGTTGCCTTTTTTTTTTTTTTGCCTGAGAGTGCCCTCACTAGCTCAGTAGTCAGCTCAGTGCTGCTGTTCTTCCAGCCTTGAAATTTTTTCATTCAAGAGCCTTTTGTATTTCCTAAACATAGTTGTTCATCACAATGTGTGTCAGACATTCAGTGTCACAATGCAGTTTGACTATCTTGCCAACAGCCTCATATTTTTAAATTGGCATAGACAGCAAGCCAAATGGTAGGTAGAATCTTTTTTTCCAATTCATTGGTCTCATGAGGAGTCTCTCAACTGTTGTGATACTTGTGTTGTTCCTATGTCTAAATATTTTAATGCTAGCAACTTAAAAAGATAGGAATCTTCAAGAGTTGTCAGAGGATTACAGTTGATAATTAAATACTTGAGAGATATCAAGCCTTCAAGAGAATCCTTTCTCTCAAATTATTTTCACTGAGGATTAGTTTCTCAGCCCAACAGTATGATTTCCATGTATCTTTATCAATGTAACAAATAGAGTTTCCTTGCACTTAAGATGGTGATGGTGCCATTGTAGGCATTGGGCTCTGGTATAGACACCAAACACTCTGTGGAGTTTCTGCTTTGGGTCGAGACCAAAACATGACAGTGTCTCATTATTACAAGTACATAGTTCACATATGTCCATGGTGACATTCTCTTCACATGTTGGAGGACCTGCTCAGATGACTGTGGTTGCTGAGTTCTGGTAAATTTCAGGTCCAAAGGTCTAATTGTGAATTCAGACAAGGTTGACCGCTGAACATAAACAGGCTCTGGATGAGGAACTTTAACATCAGGGCGCTTTGGAGGACCTGTAGTCTGCTGCAGGGCTATAGGATATTTCACCTTCCACAATAGATTTTGGTGTTATGGTGACCTCCAGGTCCAAATGTCTGAACTGTGATTTCAGACAAGAGTGGCCGCTAAGCCTGAACAGGCTCTAAATGTGAAAGTACCACCTCAGGATTTGTTGAAGAAGGTGTACTCTGCTGCAAGGCTGTAGAATGTTCAGCTACCACAGTTGGTTTTGGTATTATGTTGGGCTCCAGGTCCAAAGGATGAACTGTGAAATCACAAATGGTTGGCTACTGAGCCTGAACAGGCTCTAAATGTGAAAGAGTCACCTCAGGGTTCTTTGGAGGAGCCACATTCTGCTGCAGGGCTGTAGGATGTTCAACCTTCACAACAGATACTGGTGTTAGGATGAACTCCAGGCCCTCAGGTTAAATTGTGACTTCAGATATGTTGGCTGCTGAGTCAGAACAGGTTCTTGATGTGGAAGTGTGACTGCAGAGTGCTTTGAAGGAGTTGTACTCAATTGCACGGCTATAGGATGTTCAGCCTCCACAGTAGGTTCTGGTGTCATGGTGAGCTTCAGGTCCAAAGGTTGAACTATGACTTCACACAAGTTTGGCTACTGAGCCTGAACAGCTCTAAATGTGAAAGTGCCACCTCAGGGCTCTTGAAGCTGTTGCAGGGCTATAGGATGTTCTGCCTCCACAGTAGCTTCTGGTGTCACAGTAAGCTCCACGTCCAAGTTGAACTATAAATTCACACATTAGCTACTCAGCCTGAATGGGCTCTAAATATAAAAGTGTCACCTCAGGATGCTTTGGAAGAGCTGTAGTCTGATGCAGAGTTGTATGATGTTCAGCCTCCACAGTAGTATCTGCATTTATGGTGAGCTTGAAGTCCAAAAGTTGAACTGTGATTTTGCACAAGGTTGGCTGCTGACCCTGAACAGACTGGATGTAGAAGTGTCACCGAAGAGTGCTTTGAAAAAGCTGTACTCTGATGCAGGGCTATAGGATGTTCAGCCTCCAAAGTAGGTTCTGGTGTTGTGGTGAGCGCCAGGTCTTAAGGTTGAACTGTGACTTCAGACAAGGTTTACTGCTTAGCCTTAACAGTCTGTCAATGTGTACATGTCACTTCACAGTGTTTTGAAGTCTGATCAAGGGTCCAGCTTCCACAGTAGATTCTGGGGTTATGGTGAACTCCAGGTACGAAAGTCGAACTGTGACTTCAGACAGGCTTGGCTCCTGAGCCTGTACAGTCCGTGGATGTGGAAGTGTCACCTGAGGGTGTTTTGGAGTAGCTGTAGTGTATTGCAGGACTGCAGGCTGTTCAGCCACCACAGCAAGTATTGGTTTTTATGGTAAGCACCAGGTCCTAAGGTTGAACTGCAAGGTGTGCTGCTTAGTCTGAACAGTGACCTTACAGGAACTGTCATCTCACAGTTTTGAAGAAACTATCGTCTACTGCAGAGTTACAGGCTGTTCAGCCTCCAGAGGAGATTCTGGTGTTTTGGTGAACTCCAAGGGCAAAGACTGAACTGTGACTTTAGACAAGATTGGCTGCTAAGCATGAACAGGCAGTGCATTGTAACAGTGGCACTAGAAAGTGCTTTCAGAAGCTGTACTCTGATGCAGGGCTATTGGATATGCCACCTCCAAAGTAGGTTCTAGTGATATGGTGTGCTCCAGGTCCAAAGGCTGAACTATGAATTCACATGTTAGCTATTGAGCCTAAACAGGCTCTAAATGTGAAAGTGTCACCTCAAGGTTTTTTTGATCATTGTATTCTGCTTCAGTGCTGTAGGATATTCGGCATCCACAGTATGTTCTGGTGTCATGGTGAACTCCAGGTCCAAAGGTTGAACTGTGACTTCAAGAGTGTTGGCCTCTGAGGCTTTGAAGGAACTGTAGTCTGTTGCAGGTTTGTAGTATGTTCAGCCTTCAGAGTAGGTTCCAGGTTTATGGTGAGCTCCAAGTCCCCAAGTTGAACTGCGAGTTCACACCATGTTGGCTACTGAGCCTGAACAGTCTGTGGATGTGGAAGTGTCACTTCAGAGTGCTTTAGTGTGTCCCAGAGCTATAGGATATTCAGCCTCCACAGTACGTTCTGATATATGGTGAACTTCAGGTCCAAAAGTTGAACTGACTTTAGGCAAGGTACTCTGCTGAGCCTGACAGTCTGTCAATGTGGAAGTGTCATCTCATGATTTTTTGAAAGATCTGTAGTCAGCTGCAGCACTGTAGGATGTTCACCCTCCACAATAGGTTCCGATTTGTGGGGAGCTCCAGGTCCAAAGGTTGAACTGTGATTTCAGACAAGGTAAGCTTCTGAGTTAAACAGAATCTGGATGTAATATCACCACACAGTGCTTTGAAGAAGTTGTAGTCTGCAGCAGGCCTGTAGGATGTTCAGCCTCCACTGTAGGTTC